ACCTGTGAAGTTCTGCTGGAAAAGTTTGAGAAGCACCGTGTGAAGCATGGGGGGAAAAAAATCAAACATGGTCCCTGCGATTATGTTTTTCTTTCTTGTGGGAGAAAGACATGAAAGCAAATAAGAGAGATATGGTGTTTCAGAGACTATGATGGTAATTGTTAGAAGAAATTGTTGAGCACAAAGAGGGAGTGGTCAGCTGTGTTGAGGGCAGAAGGGCTCCAGGCAGGAAGCCTTCAAGTGGTTTCATAAGCCCTGAAATGAAATGCAATGATGTGAAATTTGGGGAGATTCTGTCGTTTAGGTTTTGTCCCCTTTCTTGGGGGCTGTGATGCTCTACAAATGAACAGAGGAGATTCTCTTCTGCTAAACTTTCAGAGGAACTAGAAAGTCCATTAACTGGGCCCTCCTGTGCCAAGGTCCCCCAATGATCTTGTGGGTGGCCTTGTTTCATCAGGACAAATCTGGGTCAGCGTGGAGCATATTGACCCATATTTAACCCAAGTTAAGAACTTTGTAACCTCTCCCAAACTTCTGAATTTATGTTACAAGCAGAGCCTGCTTCTCATATTTTGCTAATAAAATATAAGTCCAAGCAACATCTTCTTCTTGGATTATAAAATATTTATTTCCAAGCTCCTTCCAGTAGAACTGGAGGGCTGTTCTTCTGTGAAATTCTGCCATTAGAACGCAACTGTATATTCTTTTCCACAGTTCCCTGGGCTAAAATTCAGATCTTTGCTTTCTTGTCCTAGTGAGAAAGACACACATTTTTTAGAAACACTGGCAGAACATTGCCATCCTTACCCCTCGCACCTCCTGATTATCCCTGGAACAGCTGGCTTAATGTAACAGTAATTTACAGTCCTCAGCTGGAAGGCAGCAGAGAATTCTTCATTATTCAGAGTTCAGCAAGTGCCAGCAGTGTTATTGAAGTGGTAATTGAATTTTGTGAACCCTCTGTGGTCAAGCCAGCATAGCAGTGCCTGCAAGAATCATGTGATGTGGTTAAGATGAATGCATTTCCAACAATAATGGATCTTCAAACCGAGCTCAATAGCACACAGCCAAAAGCACATACTGTTTTGATGATTTGACTTATGATATTGAGCATTTTGGAGTGAAACCCATTCAGAAGCATGACAACGTGTACCTACAAGGAAGTCATTCAGAGAGAAATTGAATACCGCCCAGTAATCTCCATCAAAAGCTTCATTGATAATCTCATCGAGTGAAGATATGTATGTGACAAATTATCTCCTTGTGTAGTCAAAGATGTCCTTGCCTCATTGTTTAATTGAATCCTTGTGTGGAAAAAGAAAAGAAAAATCGCCACATAATTTTTGATGATAATTTTCAATGAAATGTGCCTTATCACCACACCAGCAATTAAATGCTCTCAAAACTTCACATTCACAGAATGAGCTCAACAGTCTCACTACTTTGCAATGCTGTTTCTAAAAGAGAACATTTATAGTTTGGGAAAATAGCACAAAAATGAGAACTGTTGGAATTGTTTTGGTTGCTGAAAATATCCTTGGCCTCAGTGGCTGTGGCACTGTGAAAAGGAAAGAGCTTTGGCTCTGAGCTAAGCAGACCCTGAGTTTGAATCCCAGCTCCTTCACTCTTTGTGTCCTTAATAGGTCATTAACTTTTCCCCATCTCTTTATCTTTCCTAATAAAAATGAGGTCAACTGCATCTACCTCTGTTTACTAACTGCACTGAATGAGGGGCAGTGCTTGGTTCTGCCAGAAATTGTGGCAGGCCTACTATGTGCCAGGCAGAATTAAGTGCTTGTGAGCACACATCATAGCACTGTCTAGTTAGTATTTAGAGTGATCAGTCTGTCTCAGTTTGCCTGGGAATGTCCTGACTTTCTACATGGAAGTCCTAAGTCCCCAGGATCATCTCAGTTGAGGACAAATTACAGCAGTTGGTCACCACATCAATATCTATGGTCTCATCTTACAGGGGAGGAAACTGAGACTCAGGGACTGGGAACATCACCCAATATTCCACAGTTGGCAAAGAGTAAGCTTGGTGTTTAATCCCAAGCTTGAGTAACTCTCAACCTATGCTTCTTGCAGCCTATACTCTGCTTAGTGAGTTTCACTGTCCTTGCTATATTACTAGAATGTTCTGAACTTTGCAGATATTTGTACATCAGACCACATTTTTCCAACAGTTATGTTTTTCATCTGAAAAGTTCCCCAAAGTCTCGTGTGTTCAGAGGTGGACCTTTTAGGCAATGATTGGATCATGAGGGCTCTGACCACCTCCTTTGATGGATCAATCTACTGATGGATGAATGGACTGCTGGCAGGTGGGACCTCGTTGGAGGAAGTAGGTCACGGGGGTCAAGCCCTGGAAGGGTTTACCTTCTCCCTAGCCCCTCCTCTTCCTCTGCTTCTGGGATGCCATGAGCTGAACAGTTTTCCTCCACCACACCCTTCCGCCATGATATTTCTGCCTTAGAGCCAGCTGACTGAACCTCTGGAATCATGAGCCAAAGTAAATCTTTCCTCCTCTAAGTTGTTCTTGTCAGGTATTTTGGTCACAGAAATAAAAAACTGGCTCCACACAGCAGCCTTTAATTATAATTTCAGGAATGCGTACGTGTGTGTGTTTGTGTATGTTGGAGAGGAGCAGTGATCATGCAAATGAAAGTTTAAAAGCCTCACGTTTATTTCAAAGAACACTCTGTCTTTTATCAATGCAAAGACCATTCATGCCGTGTATCGGGGACTTGGGCAGATAGGAAGAAGACCAAGACACTGGACTCAATTATGCTTGTAAGGAGAGTATAAAATGATCAGTTGGGGAAAAAAATGTGAGAGCTTTGATGACAGAAGCAAGCTCTCCTCCTTAAGCCCAGCAAAGTATTGCCTCCCTCTCTCTTAGACTCTGTGCTTGAGCCACATGTGTCTTCCATGTTGCAGGTTTATTTGTTTTGCACTAGCTGTTACCTCTAACTGGAAGGTTCTCTCTCTTCTTCTTTGTTATTCACAGAAAATGTCTTCTCGTTAGAAACAACTTTTTTGACTGTCTCAAGCTAAATTAGCCACCCAGAAGTGTGGCTCATTTAGATCATAGTATACATTTATTCACTATTTGATATTTATGTTTTTATTTAATGTCTTTTTGCCTTCCTTCCCCAATAGTATAAATAACAGAAAGAAGGGGACAATGTGTTCACTTTATTTCTTCTTGGCTGTGTTCCTAGTACCTAAAACAACGCTGGGTGCAGAGAAGCAACCAGCAAGTATTTGTGGCATGAATAAAATGAATGTATTGGTAAATATTTTCAATGTTGCAAGGGGTGGTGAACTCCACATGAGTGAGGAAAGTTGCAAAGGAAATGAGTCTTGAAAGGACATCTCAATTCATCCTTAATTTTTTTTTCTGCTTATAAAGATAGTATGTTCATTTTGAAGAAAGTTAGAAAAGAAATCATAAGAAAGGAAAGGAAAATAGTATGAGACCTGCCATAATCATTAATAGTATTTTGTACATTCTTTCCTGGGCCTCTTTTCATTGATGTTAACAGATAATTTTGAATAAAAATAAATTGCTCTTTTCACAGTCTATACCTTTTTTTTTTTTTTTTTTGTATCATCAGGAATTGAACTCAGGGGCACTTGACCACTGAGCCACATCCCCAGCCCTATTTTGTATTTTTATGTAGAGAAAGGGTCTCACTGAGTTGCTTAGTGCCTTGCTTTTGCTAAGGCTGGCTTTGAACTCAAGATCCTCCTGCTTCAGCCTCCTGAGCCACTGGGATTACAGGCATGCGCCACCAGGCCTGGCCATAGTCTATATCTTTCAACTTTTAAAAGTTTTCTCATTAGTAACCTGGGGCTATAAAGAGTATCTATTTCATAGGGCTACTATACAAATTAAATGAGTGAAGTGCTCAGAGCAACATAGATGTGTAGTAAATTCAAGGTGTCCTTGATAGTTTCCTGTGGATAAACTTTTGGTCCAATTTGCTTTCCTGTTTATCTTAAAGACAACAAAAACTAGCCATAGAGATGGATGGGGAGGAACCTATAGACAGAGGAAGTAGAGTTGGGAAAAGGAAAACATTATTTTGGTTGTTGTTTAATTATGAAAGCACTTTCATGGCACCATTCAGAAACTTCAGAAAACAAAACTCTGAGTGTGGGTCTCACGTTTCCCAGATGGCAGCCCTGGTCATCGTTCTGCTCTGCATCATCACTGGAAATATAATTGTGTCTCAGTTCCCAGGGAGATTGGTCCCAGGGCCCCTTGTGGAAGTCATAATCTGCAGATGCTCAAGCCTCCTATACAAAATCTATTGCATTTGCCCATAATTTATGCACCTTCTTCTCCATATCTTAAGTTATCTCTAGGTTACCTGTAATGCCCAACACTATGTGAACCCTGTGTAAATAATTGTTATATTGTATTGTTTAGGGAATAATGACAACAAAATGTCTGTACATGTTCAGTACTGGTGTAAACATTGTAGGCCACGCAGTTCACATCAGTAACAACATAACATTTGTTTTTCCTAATATTTTCTATTCTTGGCTGGTTGAATTTGTGGATACAGCATTGGTGAATCTGGATGAGCAGCTGTTTTGCTTTTCTGGGCATGTGGAAAGAGAATGCTAATAGTTTCCGCTGGGTAATTGGGAGGATGGAGAGACTTTTAATTAGATAAGGAAGCCAGGGAGGTGAATTGGGTTTGGCCAGACAAGTTCAAATTTCAATATATATATAKAGAGAGTTATCTAGTGGGATGTCCAGGAAAAAAAAAATCATGGCTTTTGTAAAGGGTGTGGTGAATACTTGAGGCCTAACCTGTTAGAGCAGTTGGTTCCCTTCAGATAAGAGGTTATAAGCTTGCCCCAAAATACCCATTTGGCTTTCAATAGATGCTTCTGACTGATGTCCTATTAAATTCATCAATTTTTATTTTCAATGAACAACAATGTTAAATTTCTAAGCACAAAAGTCATACCAGAATCACACACCAATAACATGTACTTTTAGTCATGTCTGAAAAGTAGAGAAGTGAAAAAGAACACTTTACAAAAATCTATAATTTACATTTTTATAAATATTTTAAAGGAGAAGAGTGGAACGCATATGGTGACATTAGAGAAATGTATAAAGATTTAATTTTGAAGCCTGTCTCATTAAACCTGACCTATTAGGTGCATGTATATATACACATGTATCTTGTTTATAAGTTTTAATAATTATGACCCAATGATGTGTGTTGGGCATGTCAATAATAACTGTGAACTCTCATAAAATCTGTGGTTTCTCACCAACAGAGTTGCATTGATTTTGTTCTTTTTCAAAGTTCCTGAAAGGACATTTGAAAATCATCAGAGGTTGTAATCAAGTGCTTTGGGAATGAGTTGCCTCAGTTTACTTACTGATGAGAGGTTCCCTGCTGGTCTCCTCCATCTCTGCTGAATTCTAAAAAAAGTTATTGAGCCTCAGCAGCCTCCAGGAGGCAAATGTATGAAGGCTGCTGAGGCTCAGTCATCTCTATATTGGGAGTTTTCTGTTTAGCTTCTTTCAAACAGAAAGGAGTCAATTTGTTGGAAATGGAGAAAGTTCATGACACCAGTCCACTTCATTAACAAACAGTTCATTACTGTAGATAACAGCATGCTTTTTAGTGTACAGTTAAATAGGAAATTAAGAATCTCTGACTTCACTTTGAAGAGTTGAAGTTTTCCTTGGCTCTTGGGCTTGGAAGTGCAGAGTTGCCCTATCCCAAAAGGGAGCCCAATAGAGAACCCTGAAGTCAAACTTCAACATATGGTGAAATACTTGTACGACAGCATGTTCAGTATGAGCCTCGATTCACTATGTCATTCACTACAGTGGCATTTTCTAGGAATTGCACGAGTGCACACAACAATGTAAAATGAATGAACATGGTATAGTCTATAAAGTAAATCAGGTATCTGACTTAAATTGATATAAATTTGCATTTGTAATAAACATCACAGGAAAGTCATCCCTAAGCCATATCCTGAGCTTACCTTGATTCCAAGTTTACAGCTGAAATATTTTCATTATAAAAGACAGACATAAATGACCTCATATTATCACAGAAAAATACATAGGACTCAAGGATGCAGTAATGGTTCTTCATTGTTTTTCTTATACTCATTTGATGACAGGTCATGCAGCAGCTACAGTTTGCCTCTGCAGGTGGGCTTCTTGAGGGCCACATTACATTTCCCCTCTGCTGGTCTTCAGCTCCAGCTCCTGGAGGAAGGCCTCATTGTTCTGAGGACAGTTGGTGTGACAGGTACAGGTTCCGATGACCATGACTGGTTTCTTGATGATTTGCCCTGGAGAGCACTGGAACTCCACCTGGATGGTTTTGGTGTTGTGGGGTGTGCAGCATCGGCCATCGCTGCAGACTCCACAGAACCTGGGCTTATAGGTGTGCAGGCTGGTGCAGTTCTTGAACTGCAGGTGGATGGCTTTGAGTGATTTCTTGGTGCGGAGACATTTTTTTCCTTTCTAAGAAGAAAAGGAGTGATATGAGGAATTATGTGTATACAAAGCCAGTTCTTTCCACTATATGATGACCTCAGGAAACTTGAAGTTGATGGGATTTAAGATACTTTCTCATCAGTGTGAAGTAAGTGGAGAATTAATTTAAGATTCCTTAAATAAACTGGATAGTGAGGAACCCTGGTGTTGATTTTCAGCAGAGAATGGACTGTTTTATTTCCTACTTCAATTCTTAAGCTGTGGATTTGCCAGAGTTCTCCCCTGATCACTTTTCTAGGCACAGCTTGTGGGGTGAATAGACTCTAAATTCTCTTTGATCAGATGATCTTGAAACCTAGTGTGCTACAGAATCATTTCCTGGGAGTGTTAACACATAGACTGCTGGGTCTCACTTCCAGAGTTTCAGATTCAGTACCTCTGATGTGGGGCCCACAAATTTGCTTTCTAACAAGTTTTTAGATGCTGCTACTCGTCTGGGGAGTACACTCTAAAAGCCACCATCTCATTGAAGAATAAGGGAGAAATGATTATTATGTTTGTACTTCCCTAGGTTTCAAACAACTTTCTAGAACTTTTATGACATAGGTACAGTATAAATAAACATCTTAAATATAATACCTTGCAATGTTAAATGAGGTTCAAAGTACTAATTTTGTGAAAAAGAAACAATTGAAAATGCCAAATTTTAGAAGATGGATAGACCTTATTTAATAAAGTAGCTATTATGTCCTTGAAAGTATTGAAAGGCTTCCTTTTTTTTTTTTGCATGTTTAAAGTTTTAATGTCTAGCATAAATTTTTGTCAACATCTACAAAAAGAGGCTCAAAGCATCCCCATGGGGGCAGTATATGTGTGTTTGTGTATGTGTGAGTATGTGTGTATAAATGTGTGACTGCTTGTGTGGGTTAAATATACATGGCTATTACATGTATGTTTCCTAAGTGTGGGGAGATGCATCTTTTAGGGTATAATTTTCTAGAAAAGATGTTTTTAGGAGTTCTTTTGAAGTGATAGAAGCAACATGATGTTAGGATGGACCTCAAAAAATCTTATGGCTAAATAGCCATATAACTAATGCAACCACTAGGGACTCTTTTATTTTATCAGTAAGTTGAAATTTTAAGTAATGATGGCTACTGTTAACAGAATATTTAATCTATGCTCAGCACTTGGCAAATTCATTCTGCTTAATCCTTCTGCTAACCTTGAGGTAGACACTTTCAATGACCCCATTATATGGGGGAAGGAATTCAGGCTGAGAGGTTAAGGAAAATTTCCAAGATCACCCAGCTAGTTCATGCTGAAAGTGGGATTTAAAGCCAAGCTGTCTGGCTGTAGAGTTGTAGCCTTAAGCATTAGATGATCTTGCCTCTGTGTAGAGATATGTCAATCTTGAATTTCTGAGGGCTGTTTTATTTTGGCATTAGGTTTGTCCATAGAATGGTTCAATTTAGGTATTGCATTTTTCTGATGTAGGGCTCTGGTAACAGGGCCTGTGATGTCATCACAAACCAATCAGAGCTTCGGATCTGCATGCCTTACACTCAGAGTTAACACACTGAGCTGACAGAATTCCAACAAAAAAAGGAAAGAAATACACTGTTTCACTTGGCTCACATGTTGCCTTATGATGGCAAGTGTACTGTTTCCACTAGGCTTTAACAAATACCGACAGTAATTCCCAGACACTCATTCATGTATTCATCAACAATAGTTGATAACGCACACCCTGTGTTCCAGGTAGGGTGCTGGGCATTTTGGGGAAGAGTAAGCAGACACAGTCCCCACCAATGTGTTTCATGCTGATTGAACCTAAGGGGTGAAGGAAACTGCAGTCAGAGCTGACCTCTTTCAAATCAGTTGTGTTTGATGACAGGGTAGTGGATTTTCTCCAGGAATGGAAAGGGATCTGCCGGGCCATTTTCTATTGGTGAAAGTATTACAGTTGTCTAGCTCTTCCCTCTTTTCCTGTAGATCTGCTGTAGGTTGCTTGGGGGTATTTAAATACATTTAAAAAGGGGGAGAAAGAAGCTACTTGGTCTGCATTCAGGAAGCTCTCTGCCTTTTTTCTGGGATTAATGCCCAACTTAGAGACAACCTGAGTCAACTAGTATTACAAGTGACTTGCTGAGCCCAGGCTCCCAGAAGGCAAGGCCACTGCTTTCACGGTGGCAGGTTCCTACCTTATCTGTTGGTTGCTCAGGCTCTTGTTCACAGGGCCGCACCATGCAGAGCCGAGACTGCTTCACCATCTCACACTGACGATTCCTGTTGGTGACCCTGGTGGAAAGACCCATTCCACAGCTCTTGGAACATGCACTCCACTCTGTGGTCTGCTCAATGCAGTTGATGCTCGAGTCGGAGACTTCAACTCCTACGGTGGCTTCTGGCCTGTAGGCTAGGGGATGGATAAAGAAAGACAGCTATCTTGGGGAAAATGTAGGGATCAAAGAGTGCTCCTTTAAGCCAACATTACAAAGTGGATCTCGTTAAATTTTGTACCTAATGAACACAGGTGCTCTGAAGGCACAGAAATGAAATTATCTGTAAACCTTTCTAGGTAGCACCATGCCTGCCACATTGTAAGACTTCCAGAAATCTCTGCAGAATAACTGTCCAAACAGACCTTAAGAAACTTAGGCTAACTTGTCTTTTTAAAGTTTACCAGTTTTAAGACTATAGAACAGTACAGCATTGGAAACTATTCCATAATAGTTTTCCATGTGATTTTGTACATAAAAAGGATTGTGAGAAAGTTTTAATCGTGATGAGTAAATAGAATTGGCCAAGTCAAAATAGTGATAAAAGCAATGCTTTTAGTAGGTAGAACTGGTTGTTTGGGTTCTGGGAGATACACACACACACACACACACACACACCCCTGGACTCTGATCACAAACAGTTCCATCTCAAAACTTAATATACATGGCTTGGGGGATATCTGTTCTGCAAGGCAGTTTTCCTATCAGCAAGGCATGTCTGATAATTTCTGACCTCAGAAATACTGAAAAACTGTGGATTCTGCCAATATAAATAATGTGGTTGATTAATGGCTCCTAAAATATTCTCTACTGTCTCTTGAGATCTCTCCATCCTCAAACTATGCAATATATAAAGAAATAAAAGTAATGTAAAACAAAGTTCCTGAAGTGTCACTTGGCCCTTTCTACAGCATCTGGAAAGATGGTGTTTCTCTGTGACCACTGCATCAGGAGGAGTAGCATTCCTTAGGGAGGCTAGTTCCAAGAAAGCACAGGTGGTATGCAGAATCCAGAAAAGGAGGATTCTTACTTTTATCCTCATAGTGCTAATAAGGGTCAAGTTGGATGAATGGACTAAAATACAAATAGTAGTCATAAGATAAAAAAAAATAGCCACTGAATTTTTCAGGTCCTCTTTAGGAAAAGTTGTGTGTACACTTCAGTAACTTAGTTTGGATTGAAAGACATGGTGCATTTAGTCTCAATGGATAATCTGGAATCTATAGCAGAATGGCCAGAAACCGAGGCCAGCTTCTCATCCCAAACCCAAACAATGCATGTGATTTGTGCTTGCATTCACCCTGTGCCATGACCATTCCTGAGTATACCGAATGGCTCACCTGGAAGGGCAAGGCCTCCCAATGTCCCCTTCTCATTGGGGCCACAGGTCCACTTTTCACAGCACTCTCCAGGCACAGCAACTTTTCTGGGAGCTGGGCAGTCAGGACCAGGCAGTAGCACATCCAGCTGACACCGGGGCACACAGCCAATCTGTCCGTCTCTACAGGTGCAGTGGTATTGGCAGTTTGGCTCAAACTTCTCTCCGCTGCGGTAAATTACCCCATCGAACACACAGTTGTCTCCTTCTAGCACTAGAATATTGCGGGAGCAACACAGAGGGAAGAAGAGAGAGAAAAACAATAACAGTGCACTGAGAGAGCTATGTGAAATTTGGAGGACATGTTCCGAAGTCTTTCCTTTTCTATTTCAGGTGATCTGGTTTCTGATGCATTTCCAGGAGACAGATGTCTTCATGGAGTCCTCCCAGAGCAAGAGGAAACCTCCAAGACCATCTAGTCCTGCTACATTTACCTAGTCCTTTTGAATGGGCAAAGAGGTGTGTAAAACTGTAAACTCAGTACTGCCAAGATAAATAAGTGGACTGACAAATGGCTTCTGAAGTATTCTCTGCTTCCTTTTGAGATTATTTGCCACCCCCCAACTTTTTCATTTATAAGATAGAACAAAAGGAAGAGCAATTGTGAGTTGTTCTTGACACACTGTTGTCCCCAATGACAGTCATTTTACAAGAAACATCTCTGATTCTTCTACTTCAGTACTTTAGACTTAAAAAGGAAGAAAATGCACTTCATATTCTGCAAAGAGGTTATTAACTACTCAAATAAAGGGCATTAAGATTCCTTGACATTGAAGCACAATAAATCATTGGCTTAGAGAAAAAACTGTAAAGCGACTTCAAGCCCTGGTATCCAGGAAGGCAGAGACAACCTCCAAGTATGGTGGTGCACCACGAGGGAAATGGAACCCCAATTGATTAAATTTCACAAGCCTGGATTGGCTAGTTGCCTGAATTTTACTTTACACGCAACCCAGACAGGGTTTACATCGTCCTCCCAGGAGACTAGAAGCTGCTGTGGCTTTAATAGGACAATTACAGGTGTGAAAACAAACCTGCTGGGCTGCAGGTGGGGAACTGTAAGCCCGTGAGTGAGCCCAGCTTTCCATCATCCCCAAATTGTCCCTCTGGAAATGTCCAAAGGAAATGATTTCACTGGTCCTTAACCCTATTTCGCTCCCTGTCTCCAGTCCATTTAGATTCTTCTCTAGAGATGCAAGTGATGAATGCTTCTCACCTTCGTGGGCAGGTTTTCTCTCTAGCTTCTGGCGCTCCCTAAATCCCAAGCCCCCTCGGACCTTGCATGGCAAGCACTAAGTGCTCCATAAACATCACTTATTGCATTATTATTATTTGCTTATCACCCTTTGGGAAAGGGAATAAGAGGAGAGGAGGTGGGGAAACCGCTGCTGCTAGCTTGGGAGAGAAGAAGTCAAGCGACAGAGGGGGCAGGTTACCCATGCAGATGCCAGTCTGGTTGCTGGGGTCGGCGCTACGGTCGCAATACAGTCCGCTGCTCTGATCGCAAGGCTTCAGCTCAGAGCAGCTCTCTCCGCGCTGGCGGGCGCACACTAGACAGCAGGAGCAACCGTCCAGCACCGCGCGCACCCCCGGGGCGCAGGTCGGAGGCGTCTCGGGGCACTGGCGTGGGCACGGTGAAGGGCAGCGCTGAGTCGCAGAGACCTAGGGAAGGTGATGAGACAAAAAGAAACCCTTCAGCAGGGACAACCGAAGGCAGAGCGAGCCCAGAGACTGAGCAGAGGCTGTCCAGGAGGGTAAAGTAACCAGGGGCATTTTAGGGGTGTGCCACCTACCTGACCCAGGAGATGGAGTAGGAAGGCCAGGCAAAGGCACCTCTTTTGCACAAAGAGGTTCATGCTCTGCACCTTGTGCATGCTCAGGATTTTTCCTCCCGCGTTTCCAAGAGGAGACTTTGCAGCCTGTAGATTGGCACTGCCCGCCTCCCGACAGGTCTGCTGAGCCGCAAGCGCCACCAGCGCAGGTTTTATAGTGCGCTCCTGGGACGCGCACAAGCCGGTTGGCTGCAGCGCAGGGAGGAGGGGGGAATCCGTTGGGTGGGGAAGTGGAAGGAACCGCGGGGTTGTCATGGCAATTGGCCTTAAGGCTGCTCTCCTTAGGGCGCGGCGCCGGGCCTGCGTGTGCCTGTGTGTGGCGACTGGCTTTTCCCAGAGCGCGGGGAGGGGCTGGGTGGAGCCCCGAGGCCAAGACCCAGGGCTCACCAGCGCGTGGGAAGGAAACGCCCGTTTCCTCCTGGAAGTTGCTTCACCTTCCCCCAGGACGAAGACACCGCCACTCCCCATCACCCTCCTCCACCCTGACTGTTCCAACCAGGGCTGCAAACGTGGGGCCCTTTTAACGGGATGCCTGAAGTTTGGGGCCATCTGTGGGGGATTGGCGAGAGGCCCAGGGGTTTAGTCATAAGGAAAGCACATGCGAGTTTGTCACCGTTTAGGGCACTCCTTGAATGTGTTGTGGAGGGATGGAGGAAAGGGGAGAGGAGAAGGGGAAAAAGTTAAAACAGAAAAGTAAAGAAATCTCTTTGTAAGAGTGGGGGATGGATGCTATTGGCCAAATGGCAAAATTCTTTTGACTCTAGTCATTCCAAGTTTTACTAAGTCTTAAGCCCCAAGTTCCATGGGTTTGGTAGAAATAAAAGTAAAACACAATAAAACACAAATCAATGACAGAAAGAAGCTTTCCTCTTGGTCAAGGGAAACACCTGCTGGATTATGCCAATTGAAAAACAGCACATGTAAAAGTCCAAGAGTCTTTGAAAGTTTGGTCCAACTTAGCCAATGTCAAAACCTCAGCAAAGCAGGGAAAGGAGCAAAAGGAGGGGCTTGCTTGACTTGGCAGATTCTTTAGCAATGGAATACCTCTCCCACCTGGCAACCACTTTCAAAAAACTGGCTGCTGTGAAATGCTTGTCATCTCTCATGAGAAAGAGAGAGCAGTTTTATTGCTCCAAAGGTGACATTGCTTGAGGATTAAAAACAACCCCCTCCCCCCCACTTCAACTTTGCTGCTTGGGGGGGGGCGGGGACAAAACAAAACTATGCCCAACTTCTTTGAGGGTAGCTCAAAGAAGACTCTTTATAAGAAAAAAATATACAGCTGTGATGTAAATCTAGACTTTAAAAGAAACAAATTGCCTCTACATCATCTATCTACAAAGGAAATCAAAGGCAGCTTGTTAAAGGACCAGGCCTGTCCCCTCAAAGCCCCCAGTGGATGAGGTCACCTCCAGCCCCTCAGGATAGCTCTCTACAGCTTGGAACTGCTCTATGCACTTTCAAGCTTCCAAGAAGTCTTCTTTCTTCAAGGAAAATGAGACTGTGCAGTACTCAAAGTTTAACCAGAGGTAGAACAGTTAATTTTCATGCCTGAGAGGGACATTCATATACTTACCAAGTCAAAGGGCTTCATGGGGCATCTGTCCCAGAGATGGCCTCCACCTGATTGTACATCAGAAACAACCAGAATGAATAGTTTCTAAAAGTATAGATTGCCAGGCCCTGCTCTCGACCCATTCAGTGGTGGCTGTTGGTAGACTGCCCCTTTAACGTACTGTGCGATGGAAGCTGCTTTCTGGAAAACTAGACAGGAAGCAAGTCCAAGCATGGCTGATGGAAGGCAAAGAGCCATGGCCAAGTTTTCAGAGTAGGAGTGGACTAAACCAGAATGAGGAGAAATTGACAACATTGGTGTTGGAAAGGGAAAGAATGAGAAGAAAGTTGTCATTTGAAGACAGGGATGCAAATGTCAAGAAGTCACTGCTAAAGCAAGCTGCCACTCAGGACTCTTGACTATGAGTGATGGAAACCAAACACAAATGAGTTTTGGCTAAAGGAAGACTTCAGGGAAAGGATGCTGTGGTATTTTGCATAGTAACTGAATGGGAATGGTGCCACTTGGCCTCATAGGCCACTAGGATCAGGGACTTGAAGGCAGATAGGACCCCCTCTATCAATCCTCTGTGATGTTTCTTTGTGTTGTCAAAACACAAGACTACTTCTTCTATACCAGGAAGGATGGTCCTTTCAAACTTCTTATTTTATGACTTGCCACCCCAGAAAGATGTCCCTTTCCCTTAGACACAATGTAGAATGATGTAAAATGGAGTTTTGCACCCACCCTGGGCTGATCCATGGAGACGAGGAAGATGAGGTTTGGGAATTCCCTAACACACCTGGTTGGAATGGGAAGGTGGAACAGTTCCCTAGAAAAGCAGGGGTTACTCTTTCAGAAGAAAGTAAGATTTTGAGCAAAACAATACTTAGCCATTCAATCATTTGCTATAAATGATGGATCAGGTTCTCCATGTTAAAACAATTGTAAATTGAGGGTAAAACCGTCTGAAAATAACCACAAGACATCTAAAGTCATCCATGCTGGCATGGATGTGGTCTTCTGGGCCTGTCTGCCCCAGCTTGCTTCTCGCTGATATTACTAAATCATTACAGCTCTGTTTCTGCATCTTCCTGCCTCTCCTGCCTGGGAGTCCCTTGAGGACAGGTAGTGTGCCTGTATCCATTATAATATCCCATCACCTCCTTTCGGGTCAGGCAAGTGATCAGTTGTTCTTGGGCCTTTTGAGGTACTGCAGACCTCACTTTAACCTTTGGCACTTGTCACTGCCCTGCATAAGATGAGGTAAGAACTGGAGACTCTTTGTCCTTTAGCAATAGCAGAAGCTAGGTTGGTCCTAGCAGCCTCGCCCATCTGCTTCTGCCATCCAACTTCTCTCAGTCTTTCTTGGTACTCAGAGTTTAAAAGTTACCATATAGATGGTGTTTTTTTTCTTTTGTGAAATAGACTCTGTGGCAGTTGAGGTATCTGGGAAAGTCAGGGGAGACCTTATTGGAAAATCTTGCTAAATTGCTGGACTTGGCAACCAACTAAGATGGTAACCGTGTGGGGTCTTGAGCTGCAAGGAACTTGGTCCACATAATTTTTTTTTTCCTTCAACTTTTCCTCTCTTCCTTCCTCTCATCCCAGATATGATACTAGAGGCTGATTTCTGCCTTTTCTATCCTCATATACTCTGTCAGTTGATCTACAGTCTTATTATCTGTCAATACACCTCCCCAGAATATGTTGGAGAATGTCTATATTTTATAAAGGGAAACCTTAGGTTGTTTTCTTTGCAATTATTTTATCTTTCTTATACCTTTAAAAGATTATAGAAAATGCTGGAGCTTACTTCTGTAACATGAAATTGAAATATAAAGCAAGCCCCTCCTTATTTTAAAATGGGGCAAATAAAGGCAGTGACTATGATGTTATCACCTCCAGGATAGCACCCTGTCTTTTCCTTAGAGATTATGTTCTCTCTAACTCATAGATATTCATCTTGCCTTCAGTCGGTCATTGTTTAGTCAATCCACATGTACWTAGCCCTCATAATGTGCCTCATAAATCAACCTCACAGCTCCTTAATAATTTTGTAGCTCTTTTCTGAATTTCCTTCATATGTCCCTTTTCTGGGTCCCCAGGGAGTTTGTAGAACACAAAATAATTCCCATTTTATGTTAGGCAGGCCAACCATATGTGGTGTCCAGTTATATGGCTAATTTCAATCACACCCTCTTGCTTTTCTGACAGATTCCCTGACTTCTTGATTTTCCAGAAACAACAAAGGGCAGAGAAGTGATAATGGGAGGTAAAATATTGAGCACATAATGTTAGTGCTATCTCTTTTGGAAATATTTACTTATTGCCTATATTTTTTTAAAAAATTAAAAATTTTAGTGAACTCCTTAAAGAAAAAATCCAGGAAATGAAGAAAATAGCACTTCAAGCTAGAAATTAGCTACAAATGTGAGAAACAAGTTAATTTCTCTCATTAGCTAAGGACTTCCTTATAAGGAAATGMAAATAATTTTTTTAAAAGTTTCCAAACAGGAGAGGAGTCTGTCATACTTTTATGCAGGCTAATTTCTAGCTCCTAGGCACCAGCACTATCCTTCTGTATGGCAAGTTGAAGTAAGTGACCTTGAGCCACTTAGAATTCTTTATGACCTGTGACAGTTTGGTAGAGTGAAACCAGTCCTGCAACCATGACTAGAACTCTTCAGAACAAGAATTGATACAAAGGAGACAAAGGCACATATACATAGGCTGGATATTGGGTGAACCAATAGCCTGTCTGGGGTGCTCCATATTGGTTGATAATGGCCCCAACTCATAAATGCTTGTGGCCAAGTATGGGAAGAAAAGGGAAGTAGTATCATTTGAATACAGGCAACTTACTAACTTGAAATTATCATCCCTAGAGAAAGAAGAAAAACAATCTTTATTCTTTTTTTGAGAGAACTCCTAGCCCCAGATTTTCTCTTGGGGCCTAAAATTTCATATGCAGTCTCTTTCATTCAATTTCTGAATTTTCAGCAGCAAACGACTTAGCCTTTAGTCATGACCCCTGGACTTTGTTATATTTGACATATGAATGTTCACACTGTTCAATTCATTTGTTGATAACTATTTCACACTTGATGGCATGAATCAAAATTAATAAAACATTTTGTGTTCGAAAGGATTTTATGACCTAATAGGAAAATGAAGCAAAAATAACTACTGTGTAAGATAGAGTGTGATAATTCCTGCAAATAAACCTATGTAAAGAAGCATAGGAGCATAAAGAAAGCTAACTTGATTTTTTTTTTAAACTGAGAGAGCAGGAGGAGTATGTTGGAGGCTGTGGAGAGAGTTTTGGGAACAACTATAAAGCCATGTCCATTGTCTTTTTGCTGAACTACATTGCCTTGGAGATTGACACTGAGTTGGATCAAGCTTGGATAGGATTTTGATTAGAGGCATTAGATTTATGAGAGACAGTGTGAACAAAGGCATAAAGATAAGAAAATTTAGGACTTGTTCAGGAAATGATAAATGGTTTGGGTTGTCTGGGAGGAGGAAGGTTAATGGAAAATAGAGTTGGAAAATAGATGGC